AGCCTCAGAGCAAGGTGATTAGCAAATGAAATAGAGAGGAAAGATGTAAAAGTCATTAAGAAAAGAAAAAAAGGAACATTACTTCTTACATAACATGCAATTAACCTATGAAATTCACTGCCAACCTGTACTATTGAGGTCAAAACCAGAACAGAATTCAAAAATAATTAGAAATACATTTGCATAATGAGAAAATCCACAGTTCTATTGTAGGATTTTCTGTAGTTTCATGAAAGATCTCTGGGAGTATTGCCAGCTAGTACCTGGTTGTGAAAGGCTGGGGTAGAGAATTGCATGATAAACAGGTTGTGTAATTATCTGGCATTACTTGCATTTAAACATAATGTAAGCTTGACTTGACTTCTTTCTATTCCCTTTGAGAGCTCCTCTCTATCCCCTGGCTACAGAAGGAGCTCGGGGAGGGGAAGCTCAGGGAGCCAAGCTGGGTGTTGTGTGTAACCACCTCCTTCCCAGGCTGGTGGGCATTGACAGGCGTTTTTCTGTGGTTTTGTAATAACTCAGAGTGAGAAAGCAGCTGATTGTATCTGCTAATTGTGAAGGGTGGGTGTTTCTGGTTTGAACCAGGACTGCATTGGGTGAGTGCTGTGCAGCCCGGTGCTTCAACTGATTCCTTCTGCAGGCATGTTTCAAAAATGTCTTGTTCCTCCCTCTTCGTAGATCAATTAATTGTGATAGAATTGAGGTAGAGTGTCAAATAAATCCACAGTTCCTTGTGTTCATTTTAAATGTGATTTTTATTGGGGGAAGAGAGGGTATTAATTTTGTTCTTCTGAATAACTATAATCTCTTGAGCAGTGAAACCTCGTTAATTCTCATACAGCTAATCCTCCAATAATAATTCATTTTGACTGACTCCACAACAAAAATAACTGCTTAAGCACAAATGCGTCTAACTTACTCTGTTTTGACCTGTAAATTGTACCTAAAATCCAAATGTATACATAACTGGAAGTTGTTTAGGAGCTTTTTATTATCACCAAAAAGTCATAATCTCCCAGGTAGAAAAAAAAGGGGCAAATATTTTAAAAAGTATTGACGCTAAGAGTTCCAGAAAACACAGAAAAAACCTGTAGACAAAAACAAAAAAGAAGAATCAAAATAATAATATCTGCACAGAGCTATTAACATGGTCAATAAGATGAGAGTGTTCAGTAAATATTTCTGTTCTGTGCTTGGGAAAAAGGCAGATGAAATGTTCACATCATAGTTCGTACTCTCTTTTCAAGGAGAAGGTTAAACAGCAGTTATCGTTAAATTTGGCATTTTTAAGTCAGAGGCCCAGATAACATACATCCATGAACTCTGAAAGAGCAAGCCAGAGAACTGTTTATAATTCATATAGATTTTTTTAATAGTTCTTGGAAAACAGGAAAGGTTCCAGAGGACTTGAAGAGCACATTTCCTGAGAAACAGACATAATTCTCTCAGTCTGACGTAAGGGTTGAGTAAAATAATAAAAATATTGAGGTGATTAATTTAATAAACTTAAAGAATGATAATTATTGATAACGATTCTTGGTTCTGGGAAAATAAGTTTTATCCTGTTAACTTTCATATTTTTTGAGGTAGAGTCTTTATTTTAAAATAGAGTTAAATTTGGTACAGCTGTGTAACACAAGTAGCTTTCAACCTGCATGATACTTTTTTTTTTGGTCAGGTGGGATGATGCAGAATAAATCCTGTACCTAAAAAATGTCTCGCAACTGCCTGATAAATGTTACGTGGGTGACTGTTGAAACTGTGTCACACCTGGACTTCTGGTCAGAGGGGAAGTTCTTACCTAAGACTGGAGGCTGTAAACTGTCTCCTAAAAGCTGTGGGAATGTATCCTAGAAAACAGTTAAATATAATTAAAATGGGTGTTCTAATGAATGTGATGATTGCTTATTCAAGAGATCCCCTGACTACATGAAATAATCCCAAGCAACCAAGTTACAGGACAAGAGGATATGGTCTTAAGCTGTGCCAGGGCGGTTTAGGTTGGACATCTGGAAGATGTTCACAGAAAGGGTGATGAGACACTGGAATGGGCTGCCCAGGGAGGTGGTGGAGTCACCATCCCTGCAGGTGTCTAAGGAAAGGCTGGACATGGCACTCAGTGACACCGTGGTCATTGGTCAGGGATTGGACTCAGTGATCCCAGAAGTCTTTTCCAACTTAATTAATTGAGTGATTTTTGTGAAGTTAAGGCACCAGTTTCATCCTTGGTGGTTGATGTTCTCCTGAGCACAGCAGTTTGAGTTTGGTCCTTGGGTGAAGCACTTGAATGAGTTGTTGCTTTCACCCCTGGAGCAATCTGCAGTGGCCTGAGTGCTGTGGCTCAGGACAGGCTGCACATCACTGTGCATCACTGTGCCCTTGTCCCCCTGAGCCTGACAGCTGATCCTGCCTTCCCTTCCCGCTCTGGGGGAATGAAGGATGTTGTCCATGCACAGTCCACAGCAAGCCGGTTTGCTCTGGAAGTCAATTTAAATGAAAGAAGCTTCTCCTCCTCTTCATTCCTTCATCACAGATCCTGGGTATCCGCTTTCTTTTGGGGGTTTGTTTTATCTTCAGCAGTGCATTTGTTGCCCCTTTCAGCCACTATGAAATACTCTCACAAAAACTGCACTCTTGAAACTCAGATATGTGGGATTTTCAGCGCAGTTGCTGTGGTCAAAAAGGGTCTTTCACTTTCCTCACACTGGCTGTAGTTCCGTGTTTCCAGAAGTGGAGAGGCTGGCAGGGGATAGTCACACCGTGGTAGCAAATATTTTTAGTATTTCTGTAGTGGTTTTTATAATTTCTATTGCTCTGTTTGGCACACTAACAATTACAGAATTATTCTTTAATAGCTCTCTTGCCTTGTTATTAATAGTAAGATACTCTGATTCATAGTTAAAAAAAAAAAAAGATGATAGGAAAAAAATTGATAGAGTGAAGCTGGTCTGTTACAGACAACTTTAAATATTCTGCCCATCTGTTTCCTGTGCCACTTAAATTATGAATGTTTTGCTGTCTCAGCTTTGCTTTTCTTTGTCCATTTTCCTCTTAAAATTTCCACATAGAGTTTTAGTAGCTTAATAGGAAATTATAGCCTGCAATTGGTAATACCAGCTTCAAGTGCTGGGATTATGAGATATCTTTGTTCATCTCATCTTTTCCTTTGTGCTGTTTCTCTCCCTTTCTCCTCTGCCTTTTCAGACGTGTAGTTTCTATAAGTGTACAGAAGTTTTTTCTCTCTCCATTGTCACCCTTCCCTGAAACCCCCTTGTGCTGTGGTTTTACTGAGCTTTCACTGTGATTACCTTGCTGGGAGTGCAGCAGCTCAAGCCCCACTAGTTCTGAACAATGTCCCTTTTTCTTCAAGTTCACTTTTCTCATTTTCCTTGACTTAGAAATTTCCTGAGAACTGTTTATCAATGCAAACTGAATTTTGTCGAAGTTCTTTCTTATTTTTAATACTATGCATGTGTTTTTCTTGGTTTTATTTCTCTGTTTGGTAATGCAGAGGTTTTAGTAACGTCTGATACCTGCTGTTTAGATTCTAGTTTCACTTTGCATAGATGGTCTGAATCTCAGGTTCATGCAGCTGTGGTCAATAAATTTCTGTGTGGTGATGATGATTTTATATTGCCATCTTATTTTTGGGTTCTTCTTTTGTTTGCTTTTGTTGGCTTTTTTTTTGTGTATGTGGAGACAATTAAGCCTTTGCAATAACTACATCAGACATTAAGTGCTGGCCAGTGGATTTTTTTTGCCAAGTTGGATGATGACTAATCAACGCTTCTGCATCACTCTTTCACTTTCTTGGAAGTGAAATTCTGGCACTGGGCTCAGCTAGCACAAGGAATGAGCTGTGTGACAGGTGTACTTTGGGCTGTGTGAGATGTTTGTCCATTTTGTTTAAAGTGTTTGTCGTGTCAATCTGTCAGATCTGATCTCAAGCCCCAAGTCCATCTTACGAGTTCTGCTCGTTTGATTTGAAGCAGTGATCTCATGACCCAGTACCATGGCTGTACCATGTTTCTCAGTTTTTGAAACAAGTTTTTATTGCTGGGAGTTACATCTGATAAAAAGCTGTGTTTTCTGCTGAAGACTGTTGTAAAAAAAAAAAAGTTAGTAACCAGTGAATTTTATGAAGATACATGACTAAATTATACATTAGAAACATCCTGTTTTGTGGGATGTAACAACAGTGAATCAAAGGAGGTTGGAAGAAGGGTTTGAATAGTGTTTAGTGGGAAGAACCTTGAAGTAGTTGAGTAATTTTTCACAAGAATGTAAGAGGGGGTTTTGTCAGTACATTCCCAGTGATGGTGACTGGGTATTGACTAGAGGCTAAGCTCAGAATGGAGACTTTTCAGGTCATCCAGGAAAAGCTACACATCCAGTGTGTCCTGCACACCTGGAAATCTCCAGGGAGAGGCTGCAAATACAGACAGAGAGGTTCTCCCTGGAGTCACACACAGGGACATTGACACAGCAGCTCACTGGGGGTGGATTATGCAGCAGTGGCTCCTTCTGCTTCAAAATGTGTAAGGCAGGGAGGGGTAGGTATGGTTGAGTTCAGTGTCTGTAGTGTTGCTGTGGTGGTTTTTTGTGACTCAGCAATTTTTTGGCTGAGACGTTGTCATTTTCTGACTTCTGCTCTGCTACCTCAGCTCCTTTGGAATGATAATCTACCTGCTAAGGTTCTTTATTTGCAGTTGAAACCTTCTTTTCCTCTTAAATTTTATCAAATATGTCAATATTTCTATTTAAAATGGCTATATTTTAAACTAATAGGGTGATGTTGCAGATTCAGCAGGCAAAGTGGGAATAAGTTTGAATAATATCAAATTATACACAGAGAATTCTCGATTAAAACATACAAGCTTTATTTGCATCTTAAATTATGGTTTCTCCTTAATACAACATAATTTTGCATAAGAATTACACTGATACACATTTATTTTATTTGCCAAGTATTGACAGAGACAGCTCTTGTTTCCTTTTAGGAATCTGGGTAAAAATGGCTTATCTAACAGTAGTATTCTATTGGATAAATGCCCACCTCCACGACCACCGCCTCCACCATACCCTCCCTTGCCAAAGGACAAGCTGAATCCACCTACACCTAGTATTTATGTAAGTAAATCTAGTGGCAGAAATACATTGCTGCCTGTCTTTTGTAATTGTTTGGATATCTGAATTATATAATGTAATTATTTTAAAGATGCACTGTTCATCACTGACTTCTAATTATGGTACTCTCCAGACTGGTGTATAAGCAGGAGAAATGCTAACCTTAAAGAAAAATTTTAGACATAGTTTAACTCTTGAAGTACTTGTAAATTAAGAATTTCAGTAAACAAAAGGAAAAATACTTCAGATTTTTTATTTTTAGTACTCAAATGTTGGCAGAATAAGCGAAAGAGTTCATTATAAGCAATGCACAGTATTTAAAAAATGTATGTACAATTTTTTGCAAGTGACAGCTTGTGTATAAATGAGCAAGCAATTAAACTAAACTCCACAACAATCTGCTTCAAAACATAGTGAAGAAAAATGAATAAAAGTTGAGGTGATGTTAGGAACAAAATGTCACCAGGAAAGGCAGGGTTCAGTTGAGTAGTATTTTCAAGCATTACAACTTTTGTTCTGAAAATGAAGTTTCATAATAGCTTTATTGAGCTAACTTCCTTAGTTATAGAAGGATAAATTACAGGATATCCACTTCCTTAATAGCAGAAAAATAAATCACAGTATGTCCATACAGGTGGTGTGAAAAGCTGGCACTTGGGTCTGAGTGTGCTGAGAGCTGGGTTAGGCTGGATGCAGTAGTGCTTCCAGATGTTTTCCAGGTGTTGCACCTGAACTCATCTACCTTAATAAAAGTCCATCCCAGCTTTGCTGAGTCCTCACAAAGCTGGCAAGTCACCATGCTGCCACTGCAGTTGTGCCACTGTTTGGGAACTCCCTGTTGTGTTTTGTTTATTGCTAGAAATGCCTTCAGCATTCCAAAGGATTCATAGCAATTAAAAAAAAGAATCAGGAGGGAGTCTATAGCATAAAATTGAGGTTATAGGTGCAGAGAAGCATAAGAAAATCAAATCATCCTTTCTGGTTAACATGAGATATACCATGAGAGTAGTCTTTTAATTATACTGTTGTATACATTAGCTGTAAAATTAGCCCTTTTTTACTTCTGAAAAGAAACTGTATTGCTCTTCAGAGAATTCTGTGGATTTAGGGAATGTACAAGGCTACTGTCAGATAAAGAAATTAAGTTCAGGAAACCTGAGTTGCAAAGCTGAAGCAGCCTGGGAATAATTCATGCCAAGAAACAAATTACAGTAACAAATTAATTTCAGGAGTGAACCCAGCATTTACCATAGAAAGAATTGTATGGTGTAACTGTTCATTCCCCACAGTGCAGGGAAATGCAGAAAATTCCTGTTTTCTTTCTGTTATTTCTCTTTTGTTTTACTATCCTTTCTTGTTTTACAAATAAGGAATCTAGACTGATCTGACATCTAATATTCCATTATAATTTTGCAGTTGGAAAATAAACGAGATGCTTTCTTTCCACCTTTACATCAATTTTGTACAAATCCAAACAACCCTGTTACTGTAATACGTGGCCTTGCTGGAGCGCTTAAATTAGGTAATTTTTTTTTTTTTCACGTTGGGGAGAAATTAATGTTTTTTAAAGAAAAGTCTCTCAGTTCTTAGAAGTGGATATTTTACTTGTATAATACTGTTTTACCTGTATATTCCAAGTCGTTAGGGTAATTTGTCATTTCTCAGTTTGCTGTTGTTTCTAATCTTGGTCATGTCAAAAAAAAACCCACCACAAATACAACAGATTTTGTTGAGCAGAGAGGGAGCTGAGCTGTGGATATGGAAGTTTAGAGCTAGACATTTTCCTATGAAAAACCTAATGCATGTCTTTTTATGTAGATCTAATGATCTGTAATTTGACTGTGTGCAATATTTTGAAGTCTCTAGATAGATAAACTATCACTGCTGGTAGGAAATGTGTTTTATGATAGAAATACATTCATAAAGCTCTGCTCTGAAAAATACTTTCTTGGTAATAGATTTGAACATTGTTTGCAGATTTGTTTAGCCAAGGCATGTAAAATATTTCTTGTAAAATAGTCTGTAGTTGCTAAGTTTTTTCTCATTTTCTACTGGATGTATAGAGAAAAGTTTTTTGGGTGTTAATGTTCAGGTGGGCAGTGTTGTGAATATTAGGGGGTAAAAATGATTTGAGAGTAAACCTTTCAATAACTTCAGACATTTTCCTGCATTTTTTTTACTCTATTTTAACCTTCATTTGTTAATTTTATTGCTTTTAATTAGATCTAGGACTCTTCTCTACTAAGACATTGGTAGAAGCGAATAATGAACACATAGTGGAAGTAAGGACACAACTACTGCAGCCAGCAGATGAAAACTGGGACCCCACTGGAACAAAGAAAATCTGGCGTTGTGAAAGCAGTAGATCTCATACAACAATTGCTAAATATGCACAGTACCAGGCCTCCTCATTCCAGGAGTCTTTAAGGGTAAGTTAATTGCTACTATTCGAGTTATAATTCACAGACTGCATACTGACTCTGGAGCCAGTTAATAATGGGCTGTTGGAAAAAGCAGAAACTGCTAAGGAAAAAGAGACATTTCCATTTGCATGAAGAGCACAGGTAAATTTTCAAAATCTCTTTTGGATAGAGGGTAAAATAGTATATTCTTCCCAAAAGCTTCGTATAAACTTCAGTTTAATAATGTAAAACTCATGGTTATTACATACTTTACAAGTTTATTAGTTTAAGCTTTTGTATTATAATGTCAAAATTCACATTAAAATATTCAGAACTGGAGGCTTTTTTACAATTTGGGTTGCTTCTAATTTCACATGTTTTGAAATCAGATTTCTTTGTTCTTCCTACTATTCTGAATAAATTTGGATGTGGCTTATTAGAAGTTTACACTAATACTGGTCTTTTGTTGGGTTCCAAACATAACAGTTCGTATTTAGTTTAGAAGTTTTTAGGCTTATGTGACAGAGTGAAATATTAGAAATAATATTTCCCCTTCCTGCCTTGGCAGAGGGGGGTTGGACTCCACGATCTCCAGACATCCTTTCCAATCCTAACTATTCTCTTACTCTGGGATTCTGTGAAATGTGATTTTATTGATATTTTTAACATTTTTTACTGAAGTTGTGAGCACATTCTTGAAACTGGCTATGGGAACTCCTTGAAGGCATTTGTTACCTGGTGTTGCAAAAAGATTGGGCTAAGGTTGGAACTAAGACAAGAAGATAATTTTGACCAATTATTTGTTAGAAAATAGGGAAAAAGTCAACGAGCAGAATTGACTGTTGCACTTTTCACTGCCTTTACACAGAAACAGAAATTATTTCAGTAAGAAGGGAGAGAGAAATTCTAAATTTAAATTTTATACATCAGAGGAAAGGGTTAGAAACAAAGAAATTAATTTCTAGTTGAAGATAACAGAAGGGAATCTAGTAATAAGGCTTCAGGCTGGTACAGGATGAAGAAAAGAAACAGGAATACCATGGGAAGTGGAGGGCTTGGAAATAATCTAGAACTTGGGATTTTTCTTCATCTGCAGTGGTAATAAATTTCAATAGGATATCGACTGAAGTTTTGTGGTGGCTGAAGGTTTCTGATGCCCCTTGAGCAGTAGCACCAATGCTGTATTCCTGTATGTCATTCCAGAAGGGCTGGAGAGCATTACATCACTGGAATATAATATAATTATCTATCTATCTATCTATCTATCTATCTATCTATCTATCTATCTATCTATCTATCTCTGTTTAAAATTGTACATAATTGTACATACTATGAAAGCCTCAGCTTTCGATTTGCACCACAATGTGTCCTGTAGGGTGTTCTGATTGGTTTTCTTCCTCACTGTTGCAAACTGGTGGTAAAAATGCAATACATAATATAGTTTTTAAGAGTGATGATTTTCATTTTTCCCCTGGAAATTAGAAAGACACTGTATCTGTGTCCTTTGCCTAGCACTGGTCTGACCTGTCCTTAGGTGACTTCCCAGTGTTTAGATGAAAGCTTTATTTCTTCTTTCTGTAGCCATAGTTCTCTTGGCTTGCTCTAAGTGATCTTTTTTCTTTATTCTTGTAACAGCTATTACTTTGCTTTTCTAACATGTCTTGCAGCATTTGATAAATCCATTTTTGTTTCTCTTTGTCCTTCTTTCAAAGGATGAATAAGACTTTCTCAGGTACACAGGGCACTTTGAGATTTAACAACAATCCCATTCAAAGCCAGAGATCTTTGGATAGAATCCAGACAGTTCCTTCTTCCTTTTTGTCTTTCTTTTTCCTTCTATGTCCATATACTTGCCAAAATAGAAGTCTTTAGAATAGGGTTTTGAGTACAGTCTGCTAAAAAGATCAAATTGCATCATTTAATTTTGGTTGGATTTTTTCCACTAGTCATGGTCTCAAGTACTGCTAGTGCTAAAATAGCATATAGCTATGAAAGATTCAAAAGATTTTATATAATGGATTTTATTAAATTGGTTTTATAAATATTAGTCATCCTAGTTTCCTGTCAGGATACCTGCTTGACTTTGTAGGGAGGTAGATGTTCTTATTTGAAAAAGTTAATACTAGATTTAATACTGGATTCCACCCTCATAGTGGAGCAAACCAACATACTCATTTCCAACTTGAATGCAGGCCAGCAGAAATATTTACAGTGGAGACATTTTCTGTTGGCCTGGCCTGAGTGTCATGGAATCTGCAGCCACGAATAATTTTTTTTCAATGCATTTGACTAACTTTAAAAATTTTCTTCATAATGAAGAAATGTTGACATAAATTCTTAGACATGGATATTTCAAAGGTTGTGTCAGTATCTTGAAACAAATGTACTTGTATCAATACCTATGTTATCACTTTATACCTATCTATTTTATCTGTTATTTTATATATGTGTGTGTATATAAATGTAAAAACATTTCAAAATTTCGTTTTATAGGAGGAAAATGAGAAGAAGAGTCACCACAAGGACCACTCAGATAATGAATCCACATCTTCTGATAAGTAAGTGTGGTATTACTCTATTAATTCTGTAGTTGGCTGTATGTGCTATTTTACATCATTCCCTTTTCACATTTGCCTGATACATTTGTTGTCTCTGCAGCTCGGGGAGGAGGAGAAGAGGACCTTTTAAAACAATCAAGTTTGGGACCAACATTGACCTGTCAGATGACAAGAAGTAAGTTGATGACAGTTACTCCTGCTCACAGTGGGATTCTACATGATGATAATCCTTCTGGAAATCCAGTGTAGTATTCTCAGACATCAGTCAATCTGTTGCTAAATTCCACTTGCACACCCCATTTCCAGAATGAAATGGTTGCCTTTGATCTTCAGACTATTGTTGCAAGTCCTCCACATGCTAAAATATCTTTCCAAACTTCTCTTTCCAGGATTTTTGGTTTTCCAGAAATGAGTTTAAACATCCATCAGAAAACCTTCTTTCTAGTCCTCCTTCTAATCCATTCCCTTTGTTTCATTGTGAAGCTTTAAATTGTTTGCTTACTACTTCATTACTTCTGACAACACCAAGTTTTTCCTTTTTGCATAGAAGTTGTAAGATTAAAGGGTTTTTATTCTTTTTTTTGTTTGTCTGAATTTTTGTTATTCATAGGTTTTTTCCCTTTCATGCATACCTGTTTCCACCTTTTCATAACTTTTACTTCTTTATCCAGTAACAGGATTCAAAATATGTAGCAATATCTGTGGGTAAGCCACAATACCTCTCAAAGAGCCTAAAAAAAAATTGAGTATTATTTAAATTATATATCCTTCTGTGAGTAGATGAAGGTAACATAGAAAATACTATAAATACTCTGAAAGTATATTTTTATTGTCCAGCAATAGTTATTTGGTTCAATCTCTGGTTAATACATACTTCCATCAAAGATCCAGCATGTCTAGCCTGTCAGTCCCACCAGCTGCAGTACAAAAATTCTGGTCTACTGCAGTCATAAGAAAAGAAGAAAAGTTCATGGTGTTTGGATGATGACATCTTTTGTGGCAGTCACTGGAAGATAGATGTCTGCATGTGTGGATGTGATTAGAGGTTGCTACAAAATTTTAGATATTGATGCCATCTTTCTATAGCAGAAATTCCATCAGTAGATGCAAACTAGTTGATAATAAACTATTACTCTGACCAAGCCATTGGGAGAGAGACTTCAAATGAAGCTAAGCAAAGCTAACCTGAGGCTCGTAGGGAATTGGATCTTGATACTTGAAAGAGTTTTTTTGGGATCCCAGATAAATGTCAGATCTTCTGATCTGTAGTTTCAACTTGCGCCACAAAATTGTTTCCCCTCAACTAGCCTGTCAGATATGTGATTGTATTTGGAAATATTTTAAAATTGAAAGACTAACACAGATACCTGTGCTAACAATTTTTTTGAAAATGTTTGTCTCCCAGACTCTTCTAAGAGTTTCAGGGATTCACAGTTTGTCAATTTGCTATTTTGCTGCAGGTGGAAGTTGCAACTCCATGAACTGACAAAACTTCCTGCTTTTGTACGTGTGGTATCAGCAGGAAATCTTCTAAGCCATGTTGGTCATACCATCCTGGGCATGAACACAGTGCAGCTCTACATGAAGGTTCCAGGTAGCAGGACACCAGGTGAGTATAATGTGCATGAAAAAATGAGGTTCTGCTGTGGGGTGTTGGATTTAACTGCACTGCAGATTTCCTATATCGTACAGCATGTCTGAACATGATAAATACGCATATTCAGTATTTTTATATTTCTTACTTAACTGAACTCTGTGTGTCCAAAGCACTTGGAGTGGAAATTTCTGGATTTCTGCAGTGCTAGGGAATTGTCCTGCTGACCTCTTGCATGCAATAGTGGATTCTTAAAGGAGAAAAAGAAATATGGGTATATATACATTGACATTTATATAAAATGAGTTTATATACGTAGACAGTATTTGTATTTTACGTACCTTGGAAGGTTTTAGAGGCTTCCTAAGAGGGTCTGGTGCAATCCTAGAAATCAGAGATTTCCACTTTTTTGATTGTTACTGTCTGAGAATAGGACTCAATCCTCCACGATGAATCATGCTGTGCTGGGGCCCTGGACAGGGACTTGAGGAATCTTCACTAAATTTCAGGGTTTATTTTTTTTTTAAGTACATGTTCAGAAAATTCCATTAGGGATTATGGCTCAGTTTTCCAGCTCTCTAAAGAAGATAAAATACTGGGCATTTCTGGATGAATTTTGGTATCTCTTTCAGAAAGATTTTTTTTTTTTTTTTTTTTTTTTTTTTTTACTCCTTGTCTCTTCAGTGGCTGAAGTCACAAAGTTTTGCACCTGACCAGGACTGTCAAGAGACAGCATGAAATAAAAAATCTGAGCTTTTGAAGTATTTTTTTCTACAGGAGGGATGAACTGCTGAAATACTAGTCAAATCCCCAAGACTGGGTAGTTTCAATTTTCTTTTCCACAAACTAACAAAAGCAGAATTTTCATGTCACTGGTAGCTTAACTGTGTAAAGCAACTAAATAGTGTATGTAAGTGTCATATAAAATATATAAAAATACGTAAACTGTGGTGCAAGTTTTTTTAGTAGTTGTATCTTTGCATTTTGTGGCACTGTTTTGATATAAAGGCCTCACATAAAGTCTGTTTACTTTTCTCTTAAATTTCAGGTCATCAAGAAAATAACAACTTTTGCTCAGTAAATATAAATATTGGTCCAGGTGACTGTGAATGGTTTGTTGTCCCTGAAAGCTATTGGGGTGTCATGAATGACTTCTGTGAAAAGTAAGCTGGATGTGCTGTTTTTCTCTTACTTTAATCGAGTTTTTTGTGCATTTCTCACACCTGAGGGGGGAAATTACTGAGAATGTTCTAAGGGGACATTCTTTTATGGGTTTTCCATGTAGTCAGAAAAGTCTTTTAAAAGTAGGTGAAAATGCAAAATCTAGAGTTCATACAAAATATTATGTTTGTACAATATACAGAAACTTGGGTTGCCTGTGACAAAAGCAAAAGCAGAATTCTCTTATTAGAAGCAAATACAGAGTCACTGGTATTTTTACATATTTTCTTCTTGCATTTAGAGTGAAAGCATAATTTGGTCAGACCCCAAGAGGCATCATGGCATGCTTTGCTTAGATTTACATATTTGTAACTCCCTGGAAAAGCTGAGGTACCCTGAGCATTGAGGAACTACTCAGCCAGCTCTAAGATTAGGATTTCTCTGCTGTGCCTTGTGTAGAGTGGTTTTAAAAACAAACAGAACAATGTATGTGCACACACAAAAAAAAGAGGGAGCATCAGTTGTGTCCCTTAATCATGCCAGTGCTCAAACAGGAGCCTCTGAGGTTGACTATGAGAGAAGGGTTTTTTTGCCCAGTTGAAATTGGATTAAGCTCTTGACTTCAGAATTTTTCCAGAGCTCTGCAAATTCATCTCATGTCTCTGTATTTTCTGCCTGTCTACTGACAGCTGTTCTTATTCCATCCACCCTTACATAGATAAGCCATCTCAAAAATGTAATTTCCATTGATGGAATAGTGATGTCTCTGGCACAACAGGCCTTGTTACTTGCATGTCACTGTCCTTCTGAGGCTGACAGAGAAACTGAGAGCTTGATAACCTCACAAAATGTCTACACTGCCGCTGCAGAGACACTTGATTGTCTTTGAAAACTGTGCATTGCAAATAATCTCTCATGGTGCAGTATAAAAGCAGTATGATACTGGGATAAGGATGGGAGAGGAGCGTGGATTTTGCATAACCATAGGGGAAGAGTTCAGAGTTAGGAAATCCATATGGAGGTGCTTTTCTGTGCTGCTCAGGAGGGTCAGCATTTCTTGGCTGAGAGCACTGACCCATGGATCCCAGTGGAAGTGTTGCCAAGAGGTTGCTTGTTGTGTGGGCAAGCTGCACATGCACACACAGACAGTGTGAGTACATGTTCAGAACAGAAAACATCCTGGGGGGCTGCTGTGGTCTGTACAGATCAATCAGTGGTGAAAAAAGCAGCATTGGGCACTGGTGGCACACCAGATTTGACCAAAGGTTGGTCTGCCTCAGCATCAATAAAATGCTGGGAAACTTAAAGGAAATTGGAACTTAACTAGAAGCTATAAACTGACTTCACATGGGCAGGTGGATGGGTTGATGTTCTAATGTATTGCAGGATGTGAAATGTGGAATTATGATCAAGAATTTTATACATGACACTTTCCTTTTGGCTACTCTTTTTGGGTCACTCATTAGCTGCAGAAAAAAATTAATGGTCATTTTTTACAGATTGCATTGAAGTATCTGCCACTAACATGTCCATTGGTAAATGCTGAAGTCTTTATCTTTCCTCTTGTTTCAGGAACAATATGAATTTCCTAATGGGATCTTGGTGGCCAAACTTGGAAGATTTGTATGAAGCCAATGTCCCAGTTTATAGATTTATTCAAAGACCAGGGGATTTGGTGTGGATAAATGCTGGCACTGTTCACTGGGTTCAGGCTATTGGCTGGTGCAACAACATTGCATGGAACGTTGGCCCTCTCACAGGTATGTGTGAGCAGTGCCCGTGCTGAACTGTGTGTGGGTAATACTGTACTGCACATGGCACAGAACCTGCCAGTTCTTACTGATTTGCCATGCCTCACTAGATGAAAAAAAACAATGTGCTGTATTTTTAAAATATGATGTGTTGAAGCTTTAAATAATTCCATTGTAAGAGGAAGAGAGAGCAGCAAGAATGCAGTCTTGGCACTCATGCTTTGAATGGGCTTGTTGAAGTAAAATGTGTTTATTAATTTATGTACTGTCTTCTTAGGCCATTTCTTAACTTTTTCTCCCAAATTTGTTCTACCCAGCAAATTGCAGTATGGATTTCATACGAATTTACAGACTAATCCTCTAATATTGCTGGGACAGTGGGTACTTAACAGCTCTTTAGTGAGAGCATCAGGAAATGCAAACAGTTGTAAAATTTAGTTCATAAAGGAACATTAGGTTTCTCAGACCTACTGCTCAAGAATTCTTCAGTTTTGAACCATGGTCTTGGAAGGATTTTTATCTGAGTGTAGAAGGAAATTCCACAGTGTTCTAAAACAAGAGTCTGTCAAGTGTTTGAAGAGAATGTACTTCCAAAAAAACTTCTGTTTTCTTAAGTAGTTTAAAATGTGTCTTTATATGGAGCAATAAAGAGTGTATCTCTAGGATTGTGTGATTGACTGATAGACCTCTCATGTTCAGTCACAGTAAATTTTGTAAAACATTTTTAAAAGAAGGGTGGAGTGAGTAGGCTGCTTAATGAAAAAGTCTGACTCACTTCTTCTCTCAAGAAGAGATTATATACCATAGCAGTGTAGAATCATGATAAATTGTGAATAGACTGAGATGCAGACATTTCAAACCTGACTTTTATTTTAACCTAGAATACTTGAAAATTTACTAATTAATCATTTTTTAAATACAGCCCCATGTTCAGCAAAGAAATCGAACACTTGTCAGTAACTTGTCTTCACAGGTATTTGTTGCTGCTGTGGTATTGTGTGTTCTTTCAGCATCACAAATCCACTTCCTAAAAGACATTTTAAAGAATAGAAATGTAGTTAGAATGAAAGGCTCATTGTGAATGAAGTTTAGCTGTAAAGGGTATAAATCATTATTAGAAACAGAGTGATCTTGGCTGATAATTGTTCCTTGAGCTGATTGCTGCTGTGACTGTGTTTGTGCAGCCTGTCAGTACAAGTTGGCAGTGGAACGGTACGAGTGGAATAAGCTGCAGAGCGTGAAGTCCATAGTGCCCATGGTTCACCTTTCATGGAATATGGCTCGGAATATCAAGGTCTCAGATCCAAAGCTTTTCGAAATGATAAAGTAAGTTTTGTTTATTTGAAGATTTACTGTGCCCTTTTCCTCTTCACACATAAACCAGTGGTTGATTTATAAATAGTTCTTTGCAAGACTTTTCTGTTCCTGGGAACCAAACCAAAATTACTTTACACTCAGTTTTTCAAACACAGCATTTATAGGTATCTCTAATTTTATTTTGTTTTAGGTGATGTTATTGTGGCAAAGCTTTAGAATCATCTAAATAACATTTTTTTAGTTAAAGGTGCCACAGATTTAATTCAGCAATTTACAGAAAATTGGCTTTGATCACAGCAGCTGTTCAGAGTATGTATCATCAGAAATAGCAAAATTAGGTCATCAACACAAATACTAGAATTGGAATATATAGTCATTTTTACAGCAGAGTTAAATTCTATATTTCTAGAACCTGTATTTTATGTTCTCATGCTGTCATTTGGAGATCCAGTATAAATCTTTTAAATAAAGGCAAGTTGGAACTTGAGAGCCTCCTTCCCTTTGCTCTTCTGAACAATGAATTGATTGATGTGTAAAATGATAATTGAGTTTAGTGACATTTCTCATAGGCATATTCCAAAGTGCAGGAATATTCCAGGTTTCAAGCATCTGTAGTCATTTTCTTTAAAGGGTGCAACTTCAAGAAATGTAACTCATATCACAGCACCATACTGAGGTTGGGGAATGAATGAACATTTCAGCATATAACATAGGTTTGTCTTAAAGTGGGGGAATGAATTCCAAAGCATATTACTCATCATGAGAATCCTCTGGTAGCAGCACACTCTGCTTTGCCTGAGTCTACCAAAGCACTTCTGAGCCCTTCTTAGTCTTACCAACCTACTGGATAAACAAGCATTGAATCCTTTTATTATTTGCCTTGAAATGGGCTTTAAAAAATGGTGAGTTAACTTGTGACAAACAGGGCAAAGAAAGAGAGTATCTTTTTTCTCCCAGAGAGATTTATTGGTGACATCTGAGTGCGACACCTTTTTACAGTAGGAATTTAATTTAGGCTTGAACATCTGTTGCAGAATGGTGGCATTGGGGAAATGTTAAATTTGTAAGAACTGAGAGTGTTGGAAGTTGACAACAGGGAGGTTTGTAGTCACTCTAAAGCTTGATTATAGGGTAGCATTTGTGTGTGAATGCTTTCCTAAAATCTAGGAATCTATACTTAGGGTAAATAAAGTATTTGCTGAAGGCCTGGCAGTCTTGCCCCTTCAATTAAACAATTTGTGCTCATATTCCTAATGCCAGCTGCCATAAAGAAGAGAAACTGAACAGTTATAAAGCAGAAACAGGGGAAAATGCAGGAGAGTGTGGAAGAAAGAAAGCCAAAAAGTCCATTTAAAAATACCAAATTCACAAGCTTCACTTTTATCTTTATTTATATAAAATACATCTAAAGCCCAGCAGACATCTATTATAAAGCTCAAAGCTATTCTGGAATGTTCTTGAAAAAATACGATTTTGGTATTTTGGCCACTTGTATTTTGCATTTGCCATGGTTTGGGGTTTAAAAGGAGAAGAATGTGACTGAGCACAAATCCTTCTGCAAGAGAATCACTTAAAACATGATGGAGAAACACAGAGGACTAAATGGTAATTTGCTGTTGTCTTGCTGGCTGACAACAGCCCAGCTTTTTCTAGTAAGAGACTCAAACTTCAGGTGTACATTACAAATAAACAGAGATACTGAGGAGCAGATAGAAATTTTGGGTGTGCCTGCATTCACTTTTTCCAGTCTACTGAAACCATTTCCAGTTTACTTGGATTAAGCCTCCCCCATCCAGCTTAGTTATCAGCCAAACTCAAGTTCCTGCTGTGGATGCAGAGGGGAAAAGGGGGATGAGCAGCTCTGGTTTGTCATGTCCAGTAGCAGCAGCCTGAAATAACCTTTTGTTGTGGTCACTCCTGTAGTTACGGAATAGCAATTCCTAGAAATCAGTATCAGCACAGCCTGATGTCTGACCTTGGCTTTGTAAACACACTGGGAATGCAGAAACCTTCATGAATTCCCTTAAGATAGGGAAGCAATTGCATAATTTTCCTGTGGACTCCTTGTCTGCAGGAAGAACCATCTGGTAAGCAGCTGTTGTCCATGGCACCTGGATTTTCTGTGTACAAAATAGAGGCATTGTGAGTTACATATATGTGAGAGTATGCATGTGTATTAAAATGCTAGAAAAAATGGTCATTTTTAATAGAGATGGTTGAATTCCATTTTGGATAGCTGGCTTCATTGCCATCAGGAAATAAAAATAAGAGACACAGCTGTCATCTTTTTGCTGAGCACAGGTCTGTCTAAATACGTATTTAGGTAATTTTGGCTTCTGTCTCTGGGACTTCATAGGTATCAGCATAGTACAAAAGATTAGCTCTTGGAAAATGATAAAAAGTAGCTTCTAATTCAATTTAAAAGAGAAATACAAATATGTCTTAGTGGTTTGTGTGAAAGTAAGCACTGCAGAGGCAATAAACTAAAATTTGAGCATAGTTAAAAATATTGTGAACCAGATCAGTGATGAAAAAAATGGAGTAGCAGAAGGGAAAAAGCAATAGAAGAAGGAAATTTTGTTTTTTGAAGAAATCGGATGCCTTGCTGTATTTTTAGTTAATGTGCAGTTCAGTACTGTCTTGCAGGATAGAAGTCAAAGAGAAAACCTGAAACTTTCTCATGAGATCTCATTTTTTAAAGATTTGATTTTAACAGTAGAAGCAGGAGCACAGCAGAAAATATGATTTAAAACTTGGCTGAGGGAGGACAGACCTCATGAAAAGAAAAATTAACTGCAAACCTCTTAGATGGAAGCTAGAAGGACTTTTACAAATGCATCTGAGGAAGAGAAGAATTTTAGAGGTAGAGTGAACATAGTAATAAAAGCTTAAAAAATTAATTCCAAAGTAACTGAAATACTAAGTTCTATTACAGAAGTAATTTCAGAAATGTAAAAGAACATGACATGGGAGAAATTATTTTGCACAAAATCATGAAGTTAGGTAAAATACTTTCCAGTGTCAGGGAAGATGTATTAGTGGAAGGTACAAAGAGGTCGTGCATTGCCATTGGGATGGTCACTGCACTTTTAAGAAGTTGTACTGAATATCTGAGTATTCAGCTGGGTTTATCACTGCCCTTCTAGAATAAATCAGGATTATGTCCATTTTTAATTCTCTTCTGTTGAATATTTGAATTTGACTGGACGTAATTTACTCATATCTTTATGCCATACCTGCAAAGAATTTGGGAGGGGGATGGTCTAGGTTTTCTTCCAGTTCTCACTGTACCAGAATAAAAACAGCTAAAAGCTAAAAGCTGACCCCATTGAACTTGCACACTATCACTTTGCTAGGAACCTTTTTGGCTTTCTTAAGGCTTCCCAAACTTCAGGGAATTGTGATGCATATTCTCAGTGATTCACAGTTTGTATCCTTTCTCTCATGTTTAAATGCATGAAATAGTTAACATTTACATTTTCAAGTGCTATTACTGGGACCTGAATTTTATCCAAGGAGGGGGTGTTCACTTTCAAGCTATTGTTTTCTGCTTTGTTTGTGAATTTGGCAAACTGTTGTAGCAGTGTTGTAAGTTGGTTACATTCTGGGCAGTTCTTTTTTCACAACTGTAACAATAGAAAAGGCTTTGAAAATAACACTTTGAAAAGTCTTTGGAAGTCAAGAGTGGAGAACAATGGTGGCAGGTGTGCTTGGAGTTGCTCTTTGGGGTGCCCAAAGACTTTTCCAGGTAACAGCAGAAGAGAAGAATGGTAGATTTTAAGTTTATTTGAAATAATCAGGCAGTATTGCAAAAATGTACTGAGCTTGTCAGGAGCACAATAACCCAATACTGCAATGAATTAATATTTAATCTATCACGTATGGTTGGCCTTAAATTCATAACTCACACTCACGTCAAACTTTAAAAGTGTTGAAGGAGTTACAGCTTAATGAGCTGTATAATTTTCTTGAAATTGGGTACATGAAAATAAAGATGTTTAACAGAGAAACACACTTGCAGTTTTGTGTTATCCTTACAGTGAGGGTGTTAGTGAAGCCATAGTGGAGCCACTGCTTTTAGTGAAGATGAAGAGTGTGAGTGTAAAATATGAGGAGAGTATTTCAGAATCCTGAGCTTCTATTAACTACTTGGAAACACATTAAAGAAATGTGGTGGTTTTTTGAAATAGAGAATGTGTGTATCACATGTTTCAGGCTTTAAAATGGGAGCAGGATCAAGTTGAAAACATTTTATAGAACTCTTGAGCACTTTGTTTTCTGTCCAGTGTTTGTTTTTACCCTTAATTTTTTTCAATCTTCCTTCTGCATCTAATGAGCATGTAACGTAGCCACTCTGTGGAGGAGAAAATTGAAGGCTGCAAAAGCTGCAGCTCAAATATATAGGGTAACTGAGATCTAAAATTACTGTAAATAACAATGTAGTTTAGAAATTTGGCGACCTATTTTCCCAGCTTTTTTTGAAGAACATACACAGCTCATAAAATGCTAGAAAACAAGTTAGATTTTATTGTGAGGAAGAGAGCTGTATAAAATTGTGACACAAAAATATTTAGAGTTTTTTGCCTTTACAGGGGATATGACAGGGAATTGCGTGTTTTAATTTGACATTTGAACCATTCTTCTCTTCATTCATAACATAAGTGCTAGAATTATTTTTTGTGTTGATTTTTTTTTTCCCTCTAATACCAACCTGTCTTGTTTTTTTTCCTTTTGCATGGGAGAAGATACATGTTCATAAATTCTATTTCCAGTGTGTGTAAAGTGATTTCTGGCAGAACTTGGGGTTTTAGAAAACTTGAGATAATAACGTTTAGTAGTGCCAAGAAGGCAACAGGAGTTTTAGGATGTTAAGAGTCCTTTGGATCAGGCTGTAGTCACACAAAATGTAAACAGCTATGCTGAACTTGGCAGTTCAAGCTAACTTTTTGCTGACAAATTTATGGTTCAAAATAAAATACTTGGGTTGTTTTTGAAAACACATTGTTCTATTGTGCTTGAGAGCGCATTCATGTGTTTCAGTCAAAAATGAAAGGTAGAGCCTGTTTGCAGGGCAAGGGGCAGTCCTGAAAGAGCCATAAGCACAAGGTCTGACTTTTCCCTAAGCCATGAATCCAGTGATTCTTCCTAGGCAGCTGTTTCTGAAATCCCAGAGGAAGAGCAAGCTCCAAGTACAGTCTTGGAAGAAACTGAAGCCTTCTTGAGTGTTGCTGTACAGTTGAATGTTGAACTGAACACAAAACTGCTTTTGGTTGCAGGTACTGCCTGTTAAGAACTCTCAAACAGTGTCAGACACTGAGGGAAGCTCTGATTGCTGCAGGAAAGGAGATTGTCTGGCATGGACGAGCCAAGGACGAGCCAGCTCATTACTGTAGCATTTGTGAGGTCAGTAAAAATGTGTTGGGTCATCCACTCTTGTAATATTTATTTAAATTTTGCCATGTCTTTTGTTATTGATGATGTTTAAATTTTGCTTTTAAGCTGCATCATCTGCTCTGTGCTGTAAGCACATCTGTGTGATGCAGCACTGCCTTCCAGGAGCTCATCCAGATGTTTTTCTAGACGTGGGCTGTATTTTCCTGACGGCTCTCCCACAGTGCTTCCACAACATTGTTTTTCACTAGGTCGATTTTCAATTCTCAACTTTTTATAAAATGTTGTTATCCCTTCCTGCATAAAATTTGATCTGCTGAGCTTCATTTTAAAGACACAGCTGTCTTCGTTTCAGAAGTCAACAACACACCCAGAAGAGAGAGAACTTAAGTCCTTTTTTTCTGCAGGACATACCTTTTTGCTGAATTTTTTCATTCTACTTACTGTTAATAGTTGCTTTGAAGTATTAGATAAGAGTTTTCATGAAGCTTAAAAGCCCTGAAAATCAGTTTCTAGTTATCCTCTGGCAGAGCCTCTTGGGCAGGATGAGCATGTGGCTCAGCAGTAAGGAAATAAATAACAAACTTCTTTAGCAGACAGTAAAAAGGAAAAATAGGTATAATTGTTTGAAATCCCCACCTTTACTGAGTAACCTCTATTCAGCAAATGAATCCTGCTTTGTCAATATTGACCCAAAGCTTTCCCATGGCACTGTTCATGCACACATCCTTAGTGTAATATTAGTGGTTTTACACTGCTTCACTTCCCTGCCCAAGCCTTAGGAGAATGGATTTTCCCTGAACAAATCTAATTTTTCTCTTTGCATGCACAGGGTAAGGTTGTAAATCTTGAAGAAAACGCAGTTTTCATAGTTTTAACTTTTTAAAAAATGAAATTGTAACACTTGGCTTTCTGTTTCCTGTCTAATAGGTGGAAGTCTTTGATCTGCTTTTTGTCACTAGTGAGAGCAATTCTCGAAAGACCTATGTTGTACATTGCCAAGACTGTGCAAGAAAGATAAGCACGAACCTGGAAAACTTTGTGGTGCTAGAACAGTACAAAATGGAGGACTTGATGCAAGTCTATGATCAATTTACATTAGTAAGTCAAATTAATAAGTGGGTGCATAAATACATTATTTGTAAAGCAGTTGTAGACTGTCTTGGTGCTCCGTTGTACGAGTACCGTGGACTTTCTGATTCAAGTGGAGGTTTGGGTTGTGTGTGATACTCGCAGAACAAAACCTGAAGAGTCAGAATTGTGTGAAATACTACAGTAACTTACTGCAGAACATAACCACTGAGTTTTCAGGAAAAGTATGATGTTACAATTCATAAAGTTGTGGCTTTAAAAATCCAATAGAGATCACCTGAAGACCATAACTGGATCAGATGGAGATGGGAAGAATCAGGACAGTGAAGCTTGGAGAAACTAGCACCAGGTTCAAGAGCATCTCTAATACATTGGTTGTGGTATGAAGTCAGTATAGCAGCAGAGCATCCTATGCACTCAGACCCTTCCTTCCCCTTCCCCACCCATCCCCTCCCAAATCAGCACTGTCCTTCTGCTTAGCAAGTGGATGCTCTCAAACAGTTCTGTCTCTTGGCTTGGGGCCTCCTTTGCATTTCAATTTAAAGCAAAAAGCCTCTTTGCCATTATAGCTCTGTGCTATATATGGCAGCCTCCTGCTTTGAACTGTGTCAGCACAACTGTCCTAACATTTCACCCAGGTTTCATTGTTCCAGGCAAAGATGGCTTTTTTTGTAACCACGATGAAAGCGATGCTGGATGTATTTATAAGCCTTGGCTTTCTGTCGAAGGAGACAAACATTGGACTAAGTGTTATGGGAATTTCATGTTGGATTTGATATGACAGCCCAGTAAGGGCTGTGCCTTGATTCATTTTCAGGTGCTGCAGAAAATGTGTGTTTAGTAATTTCGTGTATTGGTAGCATGCCAAGCTGTGACCTTCTGAGTTAAGGCCTCAAGGTTTGTCAGTAGAGGCTGGCGAGAGTGTGGGACCATGTCCTCTGAATTTAATTCTCTTCATTAGTCCCACAGAGCCTGGGTTGGTTGAACTTCAGTTCACGCTTCTAGGTGGTCACTGTCATTATAGTCTGTGAAATGCTGCAATTTCTAAGTGATGATCTGTTACAGAAAAACATATAAATAAACACCTATTCTCAGATACTTCATCCAGTTGAGTGGAAATGGGGAAGAATGTTTCTGTATGGAGATGAGAGGGAGGGAGGGGTATTTTGTTGTCTGTTGCTTGTACATTATATAGGTAACAGCATTGATACTGTCCCTAGAACAAGGGTTCTCAACCTGTGAGTAGCTCCTTCCCCCACCAAAACCTAAGGCTGGGGCTCTGAAGGACATTGATAATTTTTGTTGTATGAAGTTGGTGTGCCATTCATTTCTTTTAATGGGGATATAACACTCAATTGGGAAGAGTTATAGCCCAGAAGTGACATCTCTCAGATATAGGAGGAGAGTTAAGGTTTGTTGTAAATCACAGGATGAAGATAATCTCAACTGGCAAAGTTGCAATAGGCCAAAGAGAGACTGGGATAAAGTACCAGGAGGAAACACAGGGATGAGCTAGCATTAAGAGTTCCATAGTTGGGTACTCTGGTATGATCTAAAGTGTATTTAAAAACTGTGAGCAGCTTTTTGAAGGGGTTCCACAGATGAGCAGGAAAAGAGGAGGAAATGCCATCAAAGACTCAGTGCTTTGATGGAATGCCACAGAGTGCAATACTGGGAAGCAGTTAGGTGTCCTCTGGACCTCATCTCCTGACAGCAGGCAGGAACAAGAGGCCTCACTTCACTCTTGAGGCACTTTGTCCCCATGTCAGAGAATCTGAGACCCTTTCCACAGATACCTTAACCTCAGGGGAGTATGTTACTGCTCAGGTAGAGGGGAGGAGGGAAAATGAAACCCACGAAGGCTTTGGAGAGCCACAAATGGACCATCTCCCCATTGGTAAACAGGTTGAGAATCCCTGTTGTAGAGTGTATAAATTAGATACATCTATACCGAGGCCACATGGAATTCTTTGCTGTCACAGTGGAACTTGTGGCTGCTCACATCGTATTAACACAGGCATCCCCACAGCATACTCCAGTCTGCAGTACAGGCAAAATCCTAATGCAGAGTGTTCATAAAATACATGTTGTATTTTGAGTAAGGTGGAAAACAATGGCACTATTCTCTCAAAAGAGTCCTGAAGTGTAAAAAGAATAGTGTGTGTGACTTTTGAACTCTCATGGTTACAGTTTGTGCAGGTCTTAGTTAAATACAGAGTTTTGCACCCTTGTAGAAAAGGTAATTTAATGTTTTCTCTTTCAGGCTCCTCCATTGCCATCCTCCTCATCTTGACATTTTTTCATGGACATTAAATGAAAACTTTTCTGATATTCAGGAAGTGACCCAGTTCTGCACCACTGATTTTTGTAGCTATCCCGTAAGGCTGCTGGCTGAAAGCTGTGTCTATGCAACCTTCCAAGTGCGGAGTGTCAACCAACTGGACAGGAGAGAGCACTGCCTCCTACTCCAGAACTCAAAACAAATAAAGCTCATCCAGCTGTACTTCAAAAAAATAATTCCATGTTTTGTATATATCTGACAAAACTGGCAACATTATACAGACTACTGACTTGAAGACCACCTCTTTTGTATTTCTCTGTTTCTGGGCTGATGAGTTGGTTTCATCCATTTTTCCCCCTTCAGAATTTCCCTTGGAAAAAGTACTAGCTTAGCTGGTCATTTCTTTGTAAGGTAGTTAGAAATTTTAAGTCTTTCTTTGGGCAACTTTTTTTTTCTTTTTTTTTTTTTTTTTTAATGTGAAGAGTTAGGTGATATAAATTTTTTACTGCTTTTATGTTTTTCTGTCTTGTTTTGAAACCATGACGGTTACACTTTTGGTTCCTAAATAAAATTTAAAACAATTAACAGCCAAGTCACAAAGATAAATGGGTTGCACATAGACTAAGGAATAAACTTCAGATTTGTGATTTTTGTTTCTAATCTTGATGTAAATTTACACTATTTATAAATACATATTTATTGCTTGAAAATATTTGTGAATGGAATGCTGTTATTTTTTCCAGATTACCTGCCATTGAAATTTTAAGGAGTTCTGTAATTTCAAACACTACTCCTATTACATTTTCTATATGTAAATAAAACTGCTTAGCATTGTACAGAAACTTTTATTAAAATTGTTTAATGTTTAAAGTTTTTCTATTGTTTGAGTTTTAAAAAGATTTTATGTACAGTGCCCAGTTTTTGTTCTTTTTTGAATCTGATTATATATATTTTATATATACTCTTGTGCTTGTGTATATATATAATATATATAGAAACTCGAATATAAATATGTGTATAAAGATTTAGAGACTAAATTTTTCTCGTTTTAAGTTTTACATCTATGGTAGATTTGAGGTGTCTACTGTAAAGTATTGCTTACAAAAGTATGATTATTTTTAAAGAAATATATGGTATGTATCCTCAAGACATAGAATGACCTTCAGACTGGTTTATTGTTAAATTGCACTTTTTGCAATAACAGACCAATAAATAGTTGCTGCCAAAATGTAGTAGTAGAAAATAAATAACAGCTAAATTTTAAAGCTCTTCAAGAAAATACCAACTTTGACAGGAAGTTTGGCACTAGTTTTAGAGGAGGAATGAAGAAGATTGAGTTTTGGTGGGGATGTTCTCTAGATTTCAACCAAATTGCAACTTATATATTACAATATGTTCTATTAACAATTTTAAAAGTTAAGACTGAATCATCTTGGCGTCATTGTTGACCCCAAAAAAGGACGTTGTTTTGTGGTATTCTATTGTATTTTCACATATTTTGTAATACGAATTCACTGGTAAATTTTTGAAGCACTAGGTTTATTTAGGACAAGTTTATAATATATCATTGTAACAGTTTGCAGTTTTAATGATGGTATTTATTTTAAGTTGCTCCTTTCTCATTAGCTTCTTGAAAATGCATTAAATCTAAATTTCAAAATTGATAGCTTTCTTATCGATCAGAGTTGACTGATGCAGAAGGTTCTGCATCCAACAGTTTCTCATAATTTCTCATTAGTGGGGTATGTTAGTGATTGCATTGTTAAATTTTTTGTAATCAGTGTGAAGTGTTACAGGCACAGAGCATGCAGATAGTTCCTTTTGAACAAAAAGAATCGCCTCTTATGTTGTAGCTTCAAATGAAGGGTGTTTTAATGAAGAATCAGCACAGTTTATCTAACGCTGTTACAACAGTTTAACCACAGTTAGAGCTGACTTTCTTGCTAGTTCTTACTAGTTGGACAAAAGGATGTAGAGATGAAAGAAAAGCGTAACGAAATGCTCTTGCCAGCAAAATTATCAACTAGCAGTTAGGAAGCCAGTATTTGCAGTTCTGTAAAGGTTTAAGTCTCAACTCTTGATAACAAACTCTACAAATCATAATTTTTTTTTTACTTATGTATTTTATGCAGTCATAAATATTGTAATCTTGACAAACCATGCTGCAACTGAAAAGCTACTCCTTTAAAGTAGTCTTAAACCCAAATAAAAGCAAGATACACTTACCTCAACTAATGGTAAACAAAAGGTCCTCATTTCTCAGTGCTGTAAAAGAACATTTGATAATTAGGAATGAGCTACTGTGCACGAATCAGAAGGGCTTTGTACCTTTCATCCACTTTGGAAAATAGGATATGGCACTACCAAGGGAGAATATTCGTATTTTGCCAATGAACAAGTAGACCAAATCAGTAGAGCATCAGACAGCATTTCTCATGCTGTGGGAAGGGTTGTCATGAATTGGAATTGCTGCAGGGCTTTAATATTTCGCAGTTTCCATACTTCTTAATCACACTCTGCTCCCAAGCAATGGACAGTTTGGTTCTATAAGCTGCTATGATTTAGAATGCTTTTGTTTCACTTTATTAAAAAAGCACAAGTTAATGTTTCGTCAGTTGTACTTCTTAAGAAGCACTTCTGCTTCTTCAGTTACGAAGCACATGATGCCAAGTGGAGCATTTGTAATCCTCTGGGTGTTTCTAAACATTAGGAGTTGGGCAGGGTGGGGGGAGGCTGGAGTCTGGAGCTGAACTTTCCAAGGAATTTTGGTCTTAGGGGCCCTTGAGCTCCACAGCTGAGCCCCACTGCAAGTGATTCTGATCTGCTTGTGCCTACAAATTGCAGTAGCAGGCAGATGAACGATGAAAATGTGAAAGGATGAAAATGGCTAAAGATGTGGCATTTGTTGCAAGAATTTTCAAAAAGTTATGGGTTGATAAAAATGATAGTGGTAGGGAATGGATAAAAACCAGAGGTAAAAATAGGTATTAAAAAATAGTATAAAGTTGAATTACAGATAAGAAGGAATTAGAACGAGCAACATCTGCTACTGAGCTGTGGGTCTGAGAACTGTCCTTGAGGAGCTTGACAAAAAGGGATCCTTAAATGGGGAGAATAAACAGTCATTTGTTTCTGACCTTAATTAAGTCCTTCTATAAATATATTTACAACAGAGCATTTGATTTTAAAGATTTCCTCTGGATACGTAACTTGGGAGCAGTTTATCTTTGCTTTTTTGGAGATCCTACCAGTGGTTACAGTTTAGAAGTAGTGATGTTGGTGTCTATATTGAGATGCAAGTCACTAGAAAGTGACAAGTATCTACTGACAGGAAACCTCAAAGCTTCTTGAATTTGGGTGGCAGAGAACTTGTTGATCCTAAAGAGAAAGTATTTTCTTTGTGAAAGAAGGACTTCCAAGTAGCATTAAAATGATTTTGCTTTGCTTAAATGAGCACAGCTTGGCTAAGTTGGGCTGATTCTTGGGTCAAAGGTGGGCAAGGCTTGGGGACTCCAGAGCTGGTGATTTCATGGCCACAAATATATTTATTGGTTAGGTGAAGGAAGATGGAGAGGCTCAACTAAGACTACGATAACTAAGAGGGTACTCGTCCTTGATTGCTGCCCTGATCCTGGGAAGGGGTTCAGACGTGGTAGTTTGACAAGGGTTACAAGGGAGGAGGGTGTTTAAGTCTGAGCTTCCCTAGGTCAGAACCATTTTGTCTGGAGCCAGAGCAGAGATCCATGATAGGGCCAGCAGATGAGTGTGGTAGGAAAGCTTCATGTAAGAAGGACATGAAACTGTTGGAGCAGGTTCAGAGAAAGGCCATGAAGTTGACAAGGAGGGCTGGAGCTCATGCCCCATGAAGACAGGCTGGGAAAGTTGTGGCTGTTCAGCTGGAGAAGAGAAGGTTGTGTGGAGAGCTCAAAGAACCTTCCAGAGTCTGAAGAGGCTACAGAGAAGCTGGAGAGGAACTTTTTTGCTAGAAACTATAGCGACAGGAAAAGGGGGAATGGTTACAAGTTGAAAGAGGGGAAATTTAGCTCAGATATTAGGGGGAAATTCTTCCCTGTGAGGGTGGTGAGGCCCTGGCCCAGGGAAGCTGTGAATGCCCCATCCCTGGCAGTGTTCAAGGCCAGGTCGGATAAAGGCTTTGAGGAACCTGGTCTGGTAGGAGGTGTCTCTGTCCATGGCTGGGTGTTGGGACTAGATGAGCTCTAAAGTCTATTTTAAGCTTTTAACAAATACGATTCTGTGACCTTCCCTGGCTGCTTTAGCCAGTGTGGGAGCAGGCAGAGGAATCACTCCAGCTGACTGTGTGGAGACAAGGCTGATGAATGTGAGCATTTACCTCGGGGACAGGTCAAAGCCAGCCAGTGCTGCCTGTTCCCATTGTACTGGAGCTGAGAGTGGAGGAAGGAGGGGTGCAGGTGATGCCCAGACAAGTTCAAACACAAAATGAAGCTGAAGCTCAATCCCAGGTGAGCTCAGTGCAGGGCACAGAGTGCCAGAGACGAGGCTGCCAGCAAGGGGAGGGCACAGGGCAGCCTCATTCCAGGAAAACAGCAGCATTCCTCCAGAAAGGGGAGAGCAGGACATCTGGGGGAGGTGGAACATGGCTTTTCCTCTTGGTGCCACAAACTCCATGCAAAGCTGAAAACAGAGGAGAGGGGGAGCAGCGGCTGGGCAGAGCCCCTGTGGTGACAGGGACATGGGGAGGGGGTGCAGCTCAGCTGTGTCTGCACCAGGAGCACAGGGACCACCCCGAGCCCCACAGGAGCTGTCCCCTGTCCCCACAGCAGGGAAGGGCTGCACTGTCAGCTCAGGAGGAGCAGTGCTGGCCTCTCCCATTGCAGTGGATGAGTTGAAGAGGTGGGGGGTGAGATGCATATATCCATACTTATTTTGGGAAGCCATAGAAACCCCGAATGGTTGGAAGATGAGAAGAGACACCTCACTGTGCCTCAGCTCCCAGCCTCACTAGGGCAACAGTGTCAGTGTTTTACAGGGCACTGCCAGTTTCTGCTGCCAGGGACCTTGTTAAAGGGTTAAAATGCAATTGCTGCTGCCCCTGTCTGGAAAACAGCTGGGGGACATGTGTGGACCTGGGATGAAAATGGATTTAGCATTGGAGCCCTCTGCCTTCCTCCTGTCCTGCACCTGAGCTCCTGACAGGCAGTGAGTGGTTCCTCTGTCACAGAAGAGAGGCAGCACACTCTGCTTTCTATTAGGATGGAGCACTGCTCTTAAATGACATCCCACCATTTTCTTTTCTCATAGAAGGTATTTTCAAGCTCTAGGACAGAGCAATTTAGAAGTAGCAAAATCCCAGGCAAGGGTTAATGGATGGGCTAATGGTTAAACAAATGGGCTGAAGCACTGACTCCTTTAATTCATAGAGCTGGAAGATTCTTGAAGGAGTCACACTTGAACAATTCAGCCATTGCCAGAGTCCATTGGAGCACTGAAACGTGGCATGAGAGAGTTGGCTCCAAGTACATGCAAAAACTTAAAATCACTGGAAGAGTCAGGAAGGGATACTACAGAAGACTGAGAGAAGAAGTAGCCTAAGATGTGTGCAGACGTGGCTGGGCTATGATTTACTTCAGCCTTGTGGGCACAGAGAAAATGAACAGGCATAAAGGATATTTTCACCCCTTTCCTCCTCTGTACTTTTCATCATCAATCAGTGGGAAACTGACTAATCCTTTGAGGAAACTGGACTTTTCTTGTGGCAGTGGTCAGTCAGCTGTAGCTATCAATGCCATATGCTGAGTGCAACATGCAGTTCATGTCCTGGATGCTGCTGGAGCTTTAATCCTTTCATTTTAGCATACAGAAAATGTAGGGGTTTGGGGTTGTTTTGTTCCCCCAGAACATCACTGCCAGTGGGCTGTCCCACAGGCTGACCTTCACAGCAGTAACTTGAAGGATTTTTGTGGCACCTGGAGAAGGCTGAGAGGTGGGCTGTGGGTGCAAACAGGGGTTTTTGGTCACCTGTCTGCAAGCTGGGTTCAGGTGGGTGCAAAAAAGACCAGTTTAGGAACCAAAGTGGTCCTCAGGTAGGAGTGGACATTGGCTACTGGAGGATAAGTGAGCCACCAGGAACAGCCCCATTTGGGCTGTGATGAAATCCAAGCACAAGAACTAGCAGCCAGTCACAGTTTGGGGTGACCAAAACCACGTTTGGGGGTTTTTTGGGGGAGCGGAGGGGGGAGTGTGGAGGGCTTTTTAAGAGCAGCAGCACTAGGCAGGTATCCAGTGCAATGTGATAAGAGCATCTGCTGTGGTTCCAGTAGTTGAAAACCTCCTTAAAGGTCAAATGCCTTCAAAGCTGAAGATCTGGAAAAGTATTCCAAGGGCTCAGGAACTGCTGGCAGGCTCAGGGCAGACTTGTAGCTCTGTGTTTATGTGCAGGACTTTGTCTTGCTTGGGATCCCAGTGCTATCTCTGCTGTCCCAGGTTAAATGCTGGCTTAGGGATGTATCTGCTGCAAACAGAGCAGCTCTCCCAGCTCCAGTGTTGGGCACCAGGAGGAAGGAGGAGCAGGGAGCAGCTGGCTCAGCTGGCAACCCCTGGACTGTGTGAACCTTTCAGGAGCCCAGCAGCTCCTCACAGCTTTCCCTGAGTCCTGTTGGAGAACCTTGGATGCTTCCCAGGCTGGTGCAACCCTGGAAGCCTCGTGAGAGCACCCAGAAAAGTTTGGTTTTAGGTAGCAAAGTGATTATAATTATGCTTGAGGAGGCAGAAGTGCCTGGGCAGCCCAGGGATGCTAATATGCAGCCATCAGAAAAGGGTGAGGATACCAGATACCTGGTTGGGAGATGGAAAATAAAAAATTGGTTTCAGTGACAGGTTGATGGGGTATAATGTTACTGAGAAATAGTAGTGTGGGCTCAGCCTAGGGATGCCCCACGGCACGTTTTGCAGCAAAATACTGAGCTTTGGCCAAGAACCAGCCCAAAACAGATCCTGGGCAGATAGACTTCTTAGGAGAAAAATAAATCAGCTCCACATGGATTAGGTTTCCTTCTTCATTATCCATTCCTGCACTCAAATGCAATGAGATTTTGGTATTCCTAAACATGGATGAGGGAAATTTCTGTGTGTGTGTGCACTGAACTCTGTGTTGTGCCCATGCGATTCTAAGTCAAGTTGCAGCCTCACATTTAAATCCTGCTTCAGCATCTTCATTCTCAGGAGGAATTTCTTCACTGAAAGGGTTGTCAAG